ATATATATTGATCATCAAAATCAAATTTGAAATGTGTTGACTTGTTGGCATGAAGCTAATGCTTTGTTGAAGAAATATTTGATTTTTTGCAGGGTAATATTAATGATCTATGAAGAAGAATTTCCTTTTTTTAACAAAGTTATAAAGATTTTACAAGTTGAAGATAATAAAGATTATTTATGCTCAAGTTTTTTTAGTTAAGAAGTCGTATAGTGTCGGACACTTCTCGAATACTGACATTTTTCGGGTTGGTCGGTCAGGTTTAATTGTAAAGAATTATTGATGGTCTATGATCCCCATTTAAGTAGAGATTGAAAAGTTTAAATATGATTTTATATAGTGACATTTATTTAATATAGCCAAAATCCCAAAATACTTTATTGGGCAATTCATATTGATTCTTTTGATTATATATTGCACTTTCAACATTTACATGTATTAATGACCTCAAATTTGAGTGGAGTTAGGTTATTGTTTCTTCTCATCGAATCATTCAATTGTACTATAAGAATGATAAGATCAAAAATTATTTTACCTTTCAATTAATGATTGGAAGCTTTCAATTATATTTTAAGTGTCTTATTTGGACTTATTTAGAGCCAAATTAAGTTACTTTTAGTGTTGTTGGGTTTGGATTATAGAGATATTTAAATTGATAATAAATTTGCTAAAATTTGGGCTTTGCAGATCTTAAACTTTGACTCTAAAAATTATTCAATCTAAATTGCGTCAAAATTTAATATTTGATCATGTGATTTTTTTTTGTGACATATCAACTTTCAATGTTTTTAATGATTATCATGAAAAAGTTTATACTTGGTGTATTGATCATAATTGTATTGTTTTAAATTATTTTATACATACCTAATAAAATTATTATATTATATAATAGCTAATTTGTGCTCTTGTTGGAAGAAATTGATCCTCCCCTTCTTTGTTAATTGTAGATGGCATCTAAGGGTCTGTTTGGGGTAGAGGCACTACAGTGGTGCACGTTCCCACTGCCATTTGACTCCATTTGTGGCGGCATTAGCCTAGATTTTTTACATTGCGACCACATGTTTTTGTACTTTTGTGATTGTCGTTAGGCTTATGCATTTTGTGACTTCACTTATGTTTACCCTTGACTATTTCAGCTCAACCTGCATAGTTTTGCACAAATCCCTTGAGTTTTTTTTATTTGGTTCCTTCTCTCGTCGTCTCGTTTCTAGACGTTCTTCGTATCGGGTATGAATAAATTATCATGTCTTCCCTCATCTTGATTAATTGTGTTTTTTCGCCTTCCATCCTCTCGTACGATGTGTTTGTCTAGGGTTTATGCATTTCTCAAATTCCCTCTTATGACCAGTGGGAGCAGTTTTTTATTATAATGTAGTATGTATAAATATGAATTGATGAGCTTGGGAGGTTTATGGGGCTCTCTTAGTTCTGTGTGGTGTTCGGATGAGCTTAGTTATTGCTTTTGTGTGGTGTTTTTTGGTTTCTTTTGTTTCTTTGGTAAGTTAAAATATGAAATTAATAAACATTAGGCTTATTGCCTCTCTTCTTTCTATGTGGCATTCGGGTGTGTCTGTTTGGCATCTTTTTGTGGTTGCCTGGTTTTTTTGGTATGATGAAATATGAAATTGATGAGCATGATGTTTATGGAGCTCTTTTCTTGTGTAGTGTTTGAGTGTGTTTAACTTGCTTGATATAGGATAATAATAAACTATGACTTTTTTTTTAACCGTTGAAATTTATTTTTGTTGTTTTGCTTGAATTATTTTTGAAACTGTGGAGTTACAACTAACAAATGTGCATAAGAGCATTATAATTATTTTCTCTAAAACATCTGCAACATAACAGATCATCCAAACTGACATACTGTTTCACCAATAATCGCTTTCCAACACCAAGTTATTCCAAAATCAACTTCACAAATGGTTTTAAAATAGTTGCATCTACCCCAAACACACCATAAGTCGATCCATCATCAAAACACCATTGCAACTCTTCCAAACTATAAAATAAATCCACTTATGTAATATTTACTAAAACTAAAATAAAAAAAATTATATTTAAGATGATATTAAATGTAAATAAATAAAAGAAATTAAAAAATCCCAAATAACCACTTTAGATTTTTATACAATGAGCTAGAAATGAGGAACACTTAAGATCATACTCAAAAATAAAAAACAAAAAAGAGGAAGTGATCCCAGTCCTCAATTATAAGATGATTGAGGTGAAAAACTTGGGGAAGTTGGTGTAAATTTTTGGCTCTTACAACATTTAATTTTTCCTCATTATAAAATTTTTTTAAGAAGTTATATATTGTTAAATTATAAAATAACATTCCCAAATTATTGTCGTGCTAGCTATTAAATATTGAGATATTTATTCTATATTTCATAATCAAGTTTTTTAGACTATTTTATTTATGTCGTATTTAAATAAATTTATAATTTATTACATAATCCGACAGTTCAAACCTGATTCAACTTTTCAATCTTGAATCTCTCTCTTTAGCAGCTCAATGTCCCGTTCAATTTGCGAAATCTTGTCTATGAACACAAATCATCCTTATTTTAGATTGTATGAATAACCATATCTTTATGGGTTTAGGATATAGGATCAAGTAAAATGATGCATAATTGAAATATGTGCAAGTAAAATGATTCATAATTAAAATAAGCCGCTTTTAATGTATCGTATCCAAAAAATTAACTTATTTTAAACTGAAGCTTCCGAAGTTAAAAATGATCTTTTTAAATAACTGTCAATGCACTGCCAGAATAGAAACGTTAAGAAATGTGCTGATTTTTTTATCCAAAAAGATAAAATAATGATTTTTAGAAAGTTTTTATCTGTTTTTAGAGCTGTCAGGAGATGAATCTGACAAAACAACAAACAGGAAATGATTTCGTAGGGCATGAATTTTACATGCAAGAACAAATTATTGCATGAATGTGGTGTCCAATGTACATCGTAGATCACAGTGATCTACGGTGAGGATGCAACAAAAAAATTAGTTCTTTGAAAAAAATTTAAAGTTGGGCCCACCGAAATACATTCTCACCGTAGATCACTGTGATCTACAGTGTAAATTGGACACCGCATGCATCTTTGCATACGATGTCCATATGCAATATTTTTTCTACATGCAAGGCCTTAAAGTCTAAATTTTTATTGAGATAATTTGTATTTCAACATTTTTTTTTAATTTTTTGGGAGCAATATTTTCTCTTGGTTTACTAGTCCTTTTAAGCCCGAGCTTTATTATGTAATTATAAATAGATCTTGGTTACTTCCAACTAGCCTTAGTGCACCTTCCAATTGCTGACAACTCTTCTATAACCCCCCCATTTTTGATAATATGCATGTTTGTTTTTGGAAATGTAGGAAATGGTATACACATAAAGTTGTTTACTCTTTTGCTTATAGGGATTTGCCTATCAAGAATTGGAGAAAATATATTTGGTTGAAAGGGCATGCCAAATTTATGATTGGAGGATTGAAAATTTGATATTTATCTTTATAGAGGGGTTCAATTGGATCCTAAAAGTCAATGACTGAAAATCATGCTTGTTTATTTTTCGAAAGCCCATTTTCCCTCTCACTTTATAAAGCATGCATTCTCCGCAGCAATTTTTTTCTCTTTGGAGGCAGCTTAATCCAAATTGTCACCCATTTTAATACATTTACTTGCAAAATCACCAAACATTACTTCCTTTCTTATTGTGCAAGTTACTATAAATTATATTTGGCTGGAAAGAAATAGTGGGATCTTTAATGAGAATATTTCTACTGCTGAAGTTTTGAAGAATAAAATCATACTTGTCGTACAGTAGAAATACTGTAGGTGAAAATTTAAGGAACCTCTCCCAGATATCAGATGAAGGCTATAATTCAGTTAATTTTGTCGCTTAGTTTAGTGATGTATTTCTTGCTATTAGCTTTAGTCATGTTATGGCTAACTCCCTTAATTGCCACTTTTGGTCCTACTGCTTGGTTTCTTTGTCGCTTATGTTTGAACATAAGGAGTCCTTTTGGGATTACTAGATTGAGACAACAACTTCTTTTAGTGGCAATCATGGTTTATTACTTATGCCAAGTTATCTTTTGTTATGTTGTTGGCTTTCTTGTTTATCTTCAATGGTGTTGAAACATTACTACGTTATCCTTAGTCAAGTGCTCTCTATATGTTGATAGATCTTTATTGTACTATCTTTCTCCTCTTTTTCATGACCCTTATTATTTCTAAACTTAATATAATAGATTCTATTCTTATCTCTATCTTTTGTATTTTGTTGGAGAATTCAACTAAATCTTTTTTGTAGTTGGGCCCCTCTCCGTTGTTGTTAATTTTTGAGTCATAGGGAAATGTAGTTTTACCTCTTCCTTTGACCTTTGGAATAGGATCCGATTTCATATATTGCATCCAAGATGGTTTTTTTCTATTATTATTAGACATGGTTTTCGACACTGTGGAGAAAACAAGGATTATTCTACCACCACTCCAATTGGCTCAACTCACTGCTAGAATCAGTCTTCTTTCGGTTATTTTGATTAATACTAGATGATTTTATTATTCCCTTATTTATTTTTGATTGACACCACTCGAGCACTCATTGGCTTTGCTAATTTAATTAGATTTTGCTGCTTGTGGCATGCTTACTTTTGACCTTTTTTTTTTTGAGTTCTAGATGGAGCTTTATCATTGAATATGTTGCACTACTTGGACTCTCAGAGAACAACAAAAAATATCGGGCCAACAAAAGAAGAAGGCATTGAGGATGATAAAAAATTTACCTCCTCTACTGATGGAGGAAGAAAAAGAAGATAGAAGTGCCTTGTAGTTCACTTTCCTATCTAGTTCTTAGCCTCTCTCGCTCATGGCTTCTCTCGCTTCATGTATCATAAAAATGGTAGCCCTTTCCCTTCTTGATGACGTGATAGATTACTGGTATCAAAATAATTTCATTA